CCCCCCCCCCTTCTCCCCCTCCCGCAGCAGGTTGGGTTGCGCGGTGTGCAAGGGGACCGTGGACAGCTCCCGTCTGAGCACCAGAGTAACGCAGGAGGAGGAGAGGCTGGATATGGGGGAACCAACGCACAGGCCCGTACGATCGAGATAATAACATTTTTTTTTTTTTAAACAAATGTTCACCAACTGGGGGAAATACACACACACACCGAGCTGGAGAGGCCTTAGGAGGACGGGGAAACAACCGAGGAAGTGAAGATAAAGGGGGAATACGGCTACTGACCCATCCCGGAGCATCAGGGGAGAAGCAGCGAGAGAAAGGGGGAGAAGCAGGGAGAGAAAGGAGGGGAAGAAGGAGACTAATTCCGCTCGACCCGATGGACTGAGAGGACAGATGAATGAAGACTGCCTATACTAACGCCTATAGATGTCTGGCCAAGGACCTAGACGCCTATGCCATGAACACGGACATGACGATGGACGGCATCGGCAGCCTGCATGGCGGGGTGTCCGTGAGCTCCGTCCTCCCTGATGTGGAGCTGATGAGCGGCCACAGCCCGCACCACGGCCGCTCATCAGGGGGCCACGGGGCGGCGGCGGCAGCCCTGCGGATCCACCAGGACCTGGCCTCTCGCTCCGCCATGGTGTCCGGCATGGCCAGCATGCTGGACGGTAACGGGGACTACCGTCCGGAGCTGTCGCTGCCGCTGCACCACGCCATGAGCGTGCCCTGCGACACGTCCTCTCCCGGGATGGGGATGAGTGGGACATACACCACCTTAACCCCGCTGCAGCCGCTGCCCCCCATCTCCACCGTGTCCGACAAGTTCCACCATCACCACCATCAACACCACCAGCGGCTCTCCGGGAACGTGAGCGGGAGCTTCACCCTGATGCGGGACGACCGGGGGCTGCCGGGAATGAACAACCTGTACAGCCCCTACCACAAGGACCACATGTCCGGGATGGGTCAGAGCCTCTCCCCGGTGCTCGGTAACGGCCTGGGCTCCATACACAACACCCAGCAGGGGCTTCACAACTACGGCATTACGACGCACGGAGGCCACGATAAGATGCTGAACTTCGAGGCGCACCACACCGCCTCCATGCTCAGAGGGGACCCCCACCAGCACCGAGGCCTCGGCGGCCCGACGGCCGGGATGATGCCGCACCTGAACGGGATGCACCACCCGGGGCACCCGGTCGTTTCCTCGGTTGGCCACCACCCCCACCCCCACCCCCACCTCCAGTCTCCATCCCATGGGCCCGTGTTGGTGTCCAGGGAAAGACCTCCCTCCTCCTCGGAGGTGCAGGGGGTGAACAGCTCGGGGCAGCTGGAGGAAATCAACACCAAGGAGGTGGCGCAGAGGATCACGGCGGAGCTGAAACGGTACAGCATCCCCCAGGCCATCTTCGCCCAGAGGGTGCTGTGCCGCTCCCAGGGGACCCTATCGGACCTCCTGAGGAACCCCAAACCCTGGAGTAAACTAAAGTCAGGCCGGGAGACCTTCCGGAGGATGTGGAAGTGGCTGCAGGAGCCCGAGTTCCAGAGGATGTCGGCGCTCAGACTGGCAGGTAAGAGGACAACAAACCGGGCCATGCTGCTGGGTTGGTTTGCTTTGTGCGTCCGGACAACAGGAGGAATTCAAATTTAAATTCAAAATTATTTTATATTTTGCTGGCTTTGTTTTGGTGTTTCCTCGTGGCTCTTTTTTCCCTGTGCGCCCATAGATGAATGGAATTTATTTAGAATCACTCGTGTTATGATTATTGATCAATAACAAAAAGGGATCGATAGGAAATGACAAGGTCACGGGATTTCCCTCCAACAGTCTCTGCGATGTGGAGCAACCCAGACTTATCTTTCTCCTGGCCCTGCATGTTGGAGGGAAAACACACTTTCAGCAGACTATGCATCAGCTTGAAATTGTACCCGAATGAATGCTTCAAATAAAAAGGCCCACTAATACCGATCAAAGTGAAGGGAAAAAGGCACTGCTTATATTTATATTTAAAAAGTGTGCATACTATTTGGAAATCATTCAACCTTTACAGACAAAAATCTCAGACATTTTAAAACAAGGAGTGAAAATATTTATTCTGAGTTATATTTAATGCCTTTTATTTTAGTTACTTGTTTCCTATAATCAGCTGCTGTTGTTCTTTTCATCATCAAGGCTTATTTAATCAGCAGGTCTGATAAAGCACGGCAGACAGAGTGTTTTGTGCGACTGTGGCTGTGAGGGAGTGTGTTCGTCTTTCAACCAGAAGGTTGTGGGTTCGATCCCAGCCCATGCAGTCAACATGTCGATGTATCCTTGGGCAAGATACTTAACCCTGAGTTGCTCCCGATGGCATGGCCAACGGTGTGTGAATGTGTGTGAATGTTAGGTCCTAGAGTAAGGTACACTGCTCTGTATGAATGGGTGTGAATGGGTGAATGACATGTAGTATGTAAAGCGCTTTGAGGGGTCTTAAAGACTGGATAAAACGCTATATAAGTACAGTCCATTTACCATTTACTGTGAGGGGTTTGAAGTGATGGTCAAAATGAGGGTTTGAACATCAGTGGGTCTGGGGCCCCCTCTAGTGAGGGACCTGCTTTCTGTCCCAACATCAGCCTCTATTGTCTGCAGGGTCAGCAGCAGCAGGCTGGATTAAATTGAGTTGTTCACAAATATATTGAAACATGACTAGAGTTTAATGCTTCTGTCTGGGTTAGTAGCCTGTGGTGAATTTATACTAAGACGAGATCACATTAACTTCATTTAACAGAGGTGTTTTTAATGGTGAATTTACATTATGTAATCCAGAAATCACTAGGAACTATTGCATGTTGGAATTTCACTTTTGCAAAACAAAGTGTATTCATCTATTGATAAATAAGACATATTGGGTATTCAACGCATGTAAAACTAAATTGAGTCATATTGGCTATTTCAAAAACCAACCAAAACGTACATGCTACACTACAGTAAATGGTCTTTGTTGGTTTTAAGCTAAACAATTAGAAATAATTATAATAAATTAAGAGTCCTATTTAACATATAAAGTATGTTTTTTTTAAACAAGATCAACTAAATAATACTAAATTGTAAAATGTGTTTCTAAAGCAGCTTTTTAGTGTAAAATCAGTCAAATAAAAAAACATGAATTCAGTTCAATTTGTTTTGTTTTTTGCTGTCTTCATTTACATTTTACAGGTATAAATAAACACATAGGTTCAAATACATTTAGTATCACCTATCATAATGACAAACACAACACTCAAATATAACAGGAGTGTAGATGCAGTGACAAAACCACTGTGAAAAGATTTTTAAAAAATAGTGAAATATGTGAAATTGACTTAAAGTAAAAACGTTTGTTTTAGACATTTTGGAAGCTGACTGAATGTTTCCTGTTCAAAATAATCAAAACTACAATTTCTCATTTGCCAATTAAACACCTAACCCTTAAAATGATCCATAACTAACACATGGAGATGTATAAGTGTTCACCATAAAGCGACACATTTTATAAAACATGTCATATTATGTCATAAAATTCTAATACTTCTGAATTTTTGTTTGATGCCACCTTCACAAACACATATTATTCAATGAAAGAATTCCAGTAGGGTTTCTAACTCATGCATTTCAGTCTGAAGAACTACTTTAAACAGCTGCCATGGGATATTTAAAAATATCATAGACTTTAAAATGATTTTATATCAGCGTGTCATTATCAACTTTTTTAGCTCCATTTGACTGGTTCATGCATTCAGAAAAACTTCACTATCTAACCGCTGCATTCACTATATAATATTCACAAGAGGTTTAATGTGCACACATCTCAATGCTCCTCATTTTGGGCCAAACATCTGTTTTAAAAACTATCATGTGTTCTTTACCAGATCATCACAGATTTGCATATTTATTTCAGATTTACATTTATTGGACTCTAAAGATACAAATACATAATGAATGTCAACATTATAGACAAAGGGTTAATAATGTACACATTATATGTATATATTTAATCTAGACTCAAATCTTACAGGTTTCACATTTGATTATTGCTGTGTGAAATGCTGGAATTTGAAAAGATGTAACATAAGAAGATTTTAATATTGAAAAACAATGCATTTGATACATTATTGGCTAAACTGAAGGGTTTTAACTCTCTTAAACCCAATTATCTATAATTAGATTACATGTTTAATTATCCTTATCATGAAGCTTAAAACAAAGCTGTTTTCTAATTTCATGGTTTTCATTTTCTGTTATTTTAGGAAAGGTAGTGTTGCGTTTACTTAACCCTTAAATGCACGAGTGACTGGACCCTAAACTCTTCAAGTGGGTCAAAAAGGACCGTATTAGAATAATATGTGTTTTTATGCCATTTTTATCATTTTGTTTAAGAGAAATCACTTGTATAATATTTAGTATTATATTTTGGTTCACACTAGAAATATTTTATATTTAATTTTTCACCATTTATAATTTTAGACATTTTTTTGACATTTTGAAAATAGAAAATGCATGCGGGTCATTTTTGACCCACTTATGGAAGCTTGGGGTAGCAATACAAAAACTACAATTTCTTAAAATGTAAATTTAAAATTTGAATGGTATGATATCCAAAACATGTTTTTTGAGAAATAGCTGGAATATGAAATGATAACCATTTTTTTTAATTACAAAGATACTTCAAGAAAACCAGCTCACCGGGTCAAAAAAGACCCACTTATGGATCTAATGGTTAAGGGTCGATCTTTGGAATAAAACATACTTTATGTAACAAAAATATATATTAAAAGGAAAATATGTAGAAATATAAAATCTTAAATGCTGTACAAATGTAATAATAAGAATGTACATATAGGTTATTTACTTCTAAGACATTAAATAATGTATTATACTAAGCTTTGTGTACCCAAATTATATATATTTACACTTTATGAGCTCATGCTTACACTGAACGACACAAACAGCAATTTCTCTTGTGCAAATATAATATTCTTAAATTATTGTAAAAATATCCATTTTTATAAACCAATATTATATGATAATATGACAGATGATCAGAGTGTTTGCAGTGTATTTATAGTGAGTTTTCGGAGATGTTATTTTATTATGAAGTTAACTTCCTTGTGTATTTTTTTACATTTGTTAGCTGCATCAGATTCCAATATTTCCTCTCAATATCTGCTCACCATTCTCATATTTACTGTGGTTTTATGTGGTGTAAATGTACCATAAAGTGTCCGAACAGTCTTTGAATAATCACTGCAAATCAGTGATGTATTATTTTCATTTGATCCAATTAATGGAGATCCAAACTCAGCCACGACACCTGATTCCCAAAGCATTGATTGGTCTTTTGCATTTAATTAGCCCAGATTCTGCCAGTGGATTTGGTTCGGAGCAGACTCATATTTTTAAATGTGTGCTCATGCTAATGTGGAGGAGATTATCTCTGCAGGATGTGACTGTTATTTCATTAGGGGGTCCTCTGAGATCCAGGGCTATTTGCCGTTGTATGGTAATAGAAAAGGACAGGAGGGACGGTGGAAAGAGAGCAGGGGAGCGCTCAGATCACACGGGGTGTTGTGAAATGTCAGCGTGCTGAAACTCTGAAACTCTGCTGTCTGATGGAGCTGTCTGTCGCTGGCTGCTGGACGCATGACACTGTTTACTCGTTTACAAAAGGCCCAATATCTACAAATCAAATCTGAAATCATTAGGATTGGGTACTCATATTTATTTGTATATGTTGTACTCTATAGACAATGTAACACATATATTTATACTATATTTTTAACTAATGTGCAATGCTATCTAAACATGCCGCTATAACAAAACGCCTTCTCAATTTCGGACCAATAAAGTTGTCGAATTTTAAATAATCTAATCCCAATAGGCTAACTGAGTTTTGGTTACCGATAAGAAACATCATTTTGTTAATTTCTTGCATCAAGGGATACACAACAACTCTCTTTTCGCTTTTATTTATTTAATACTCAAATGTATTTGTATAATGAATTCTATAGACACTGTAACATATATATTTGTATGTTATATGTTTTACTTATGTGCAATGCTATGTAAACATGCTGCTAACACAAAACACCTTCTCAATTTCGGACCAATATAGTATCTAGTCTAATCTAATTTAATACAATCTAGTCCCAATAGTTACATAGGCTACCTGAGGTTTGGTTACGGATACACAACAATTCTACTCTCGCTTGTATTTAATAATTAAAAGAATTAGAAAGCGATGAAACTTGCTGTATCTTCTTAAGCCACCAGTATGAGAAACATTTTACTGATCAAAGCCCAGTCTTACATCGTAGAAGCTTACTGTGTTGAGCCTAGCTTAGTTTATAAAATGGAAATATTTGGAAACTAGTCTGCACACTGAGGTCCAGCTTAGGTTACATTTCTAAAATGTCAGCAGCTTTAGTTCACTCTGTCTGATAGATTGCATATGAACAAAAGGGAACACAAGAAGCAAAGAAAAAGATAACTGTTTGTTGAAAAAGATCGACATAAAAAGTCCGTCTGTTGTGGTTTTCATTTTCTTTGTTTTATAGATTGTTGAATTGAACTACTGTTTTGTTTTCTCAATTTGAAAGGCAATAAAGCATGGTTACCTACCTGCAATTTAT